ATTTTATGTCTTTTCGAAAGGTTGGAACGGCTCGTTCCAGTTTTGGAACGGCCCGTTCTGGGCTTCTAAAATCATATAAAAATTACTAAATTACCCCCCATAAAAATATAAGAAATGAGGTGTTACATTTGGCTTCCATATTTTTGTCTTTTTTATTCTTTCTTGTATATATCTTTTTTGCTATTTTTTTAAACAAAAATTGACATTTCCCAGATGAAATTGGGTTACTACAGGCTTGTTGTACAGAAATTTAAATAAGACTAATTAACATGGACTCTTAATAAAATGCAATAATCTGACACAAAAATCTCCTCATGACCGTACATATTGGAATTTGATACCTTAATCTCCAATGAAATTAAAGGCACTAAAAATACATCTTAATGAAACATATCAGCACCTCTTTCCGGTTGAGGTGCTTCCTCTCTTCACTAATTAAGGAGCATCCCTTAGGGTTTGTTGGGGGAGCCATGAGGGCAAAGCGAACGCATTTGCGAGGGTAGAAAGGGTTGGTTTGAGGAGAATAGAGGACAAGTCCTTTCCTTAATTGTTTGGATGTTGCAAGTTGAAAAAGGGGAAGGAATTGGAGAAGATAACTGACTGTCGTATCAATTTGCTAATTTGGTCATTTTATCCATATTTTGCATTTTACCCCAGCATCTTTTCATGAAAAAAATTCTTATATGATGCTCCCAACATTGTGGTGGACATGAAAACGGAGGAATAATGCGATTTAATTTCACAAGATTCAAAAGAGATAAAATTAAGTAATTGAAAGATTTTATAACTAAAATATTATAATATTATCTTATTTTTTATTTACAAAAATTATAATAATGACAATAAAATTTGAATTTATGACTTTGTATATATTATTCTAATATTTATTACTAAGTCGATTTTAGTGGTTTAAAATATTATTTCTTTTAATGTTGTTTTATTTTATTTTTTCTAAAATAAAATGATTGCACTTGTAAGATCTTTCATAGTAGTTATTAAGTTATAAAGATATATTTCTTTAACCTTTGAAGGCATGAATGAAAAATCTAAATGCCATTTCTATCAAAGTTTTTAGTCTTTTCTTATTTCTAATGGCATCTTTATGTTATCTTACGATAGGGTAACTATTTGCTTGTTATCATATGTGTAGAGTGATCTATCCTACTGTTGCTGCATTTAAAGTTTTTGTTCAAGTTAGTGGGGAACAAATTCGTTGGGATCCTTGCGCTGGCAATTAATTGTGTGTAAAATTAATGTTGATGGAGCCTTTTTGTTGAATGTGAAGGTGATGGGAGCCAGTAATTTTGTTTGTGGGGCTTATGGTGAGTGGATCTTTGGATTTTCTTGCTTTTGTGATGTTGAAAAAGTCTTAAAATAGTATTTCATCAATAAAAGTCATGTTATGTGACTTCAGATTAATCTTTAATTATTAATTTTAGGAATTTGCTTAAATTATCGTCCATGAATATAAATAAAATATATGAATTTCTTTTTTTGGAGAAAGGTCTTGATGGAATCATGAAGGGCTTTGCTCAAAAGACTCCAAGAGGAATGAGTTAGAAGTGAAGATAGAAGACTTAAGTTGATCATGTCATGTTGAGCTTTAGGATTATGGAGAAAAGAAAAATACTATAAAAGAAGTTGAATAGTATCAAATTTAACGTTTTTTGAAACAATGAAATAGTATTATATACCTTAAAGAATGCAAACAAAGAGATAAGAATAAGGAAAACAAAGTATTTTTATATTGATTCGTCTCAATCATTGAGATTGTGTCTAATTCTTGATCAATTCGATCAAGTTTCATTATTTTTTCAAATATACAAATATTTTTTCACAAGTTAATTTTGGCTAAATCTAAGTATATTGTTTGACTTGCTTCTTCAAATAACTATTTAAGTATTTTTTGAACAACGAAGCTTCTCTATGCTTTAATAATAATGTATTCTTTACAACAAAGTCTTTTCAAGCTTCAAACTATAATACAAAGTTAAAGTTAAGTAATAATAGTTATTTCGTCTTACTCACAAGATGTAATACAACAATAATTAAGTATAGTGCTTTACACAGAAAAAATGGAATGAAATTTTATGATGATTAGCTTCTTCTTCTTTTTGAGTCTTCAAGTTTCTTTATATATGTGTTTCATGAAGGTAATTGTTGCGAATACTTGAGCTTCACTCATAGGTTTACTTCATCTTTATTTCTCTTCCTTTCTTATAGAATAAAATGTCTATTGGTACTTGAGCTTCACTCATACATTTTACCAAATTATCATTTCTTATTTAATCAATGAAACTACTTATCACCTTTAAGGTACAAAATAGGAGAAAGTATAGCATGTGTCATTTGAAAATGACTTTATTTGTGACTTCACATACTTTGAGATATTTGTTTATCCTTTCTTTGACAAAAAGTAAATCTCTATTATTTTCTTGAAGTTCAAGTATCAAATAAACTTTTATTCCTTCAATTTGTTAATGAATAACATAAACATGGATGATTTGATTATCAAATATAATAAATAATATATTTAATGCATTCATCTCAAATAGACGAAGTGTTTTATTTGAAAGACTAGATGTCATCATAACAAATCATCTTATGTGATTGTCTATTCTTATATGATTTTAAAAGTATTTCTTTGTGAAAACTATTCAAGTTTGTTAACATTAAAACTTATACTCTTGAGAGATCTAAAATAATCCTTTGAATTGACAAGGATTATTGATGTTTAGTCAATTTCTATCATTTTTCTTATAAACATTATTTTCTTTCTTTGACTTTCTTTGACCTTATATTATGGGTCAATTAGAGTAGGTTATTTTTGTATTATTTTTTCCTTGGGAGTTTATTTGGTAATTTTGGAGGTGTATTTTAAAAATTAAAAATATAACAAGTAGGCTTGTAACCCAAAGTGGAGGTACCACTTTGGTGTTTTCAACATCTCCCTACGTGCTTCACACACTCTCCTTTAATCACATTTCCATGTCTAGCCACACATTTCATGCTAGTCACGCCTCCCACATTAATCACTACAAGAAATATTATACATAGTGACATACAAAAAGTGTCACTATAGGTACAATATATGTAGGTATATGTTTATTTGACATGTAGTTACACACAATTTTAGTGTTGATTTTGAATGAGATTTAATAATATATTTTGTATGTCATTATAGCCTATACCCACACTTTTTAATAATATACCAATAAATATTGTATTTATTGTGTGGGTAAAAATAATTTTTAGTGACATATATAATGTCACTATAGGGTGTGTGTCACTATGTAACAATTTTCTTGTAGTGAATGTATTTATATTTAATTAAGGGAAAGTGAGAAGCTAATAAGTTGGGCACCCAAGTTAGGCCAAACAAGGATTAGTTAGCTTGTTCAACAACCTAACCAATTCTATACAAGTCCATTTCCTTCATTTGTAAAATACTTTTGAGAATTGAATGAGAATTTGATTTTCTCTCTACTCAAAAGTCTCTTGAGTTCTCTTTTCTTAGAGTGTGATGAATAACCTTAGACTTATCTCTTTTGTGAATAGTGTCATTCACCTTTCTACTTTTGGAATTTCTTCTCCTTTGCCTCCCCTTGTATGAAGGATCTTTTGGAAGAGGAGATGAATATGTGAAGCATCTTCCATCATGAAAAAAGAAGAAAAATGAATTGCAAGCTAAAATATAATATATAATACATAAAAGTTTGGCTTAATTATGTATTTAGTACTCTAAATTTAGGGTATATTTTTTAGTCTCCCAAATTTAAAGCATGTTTTTAGTCTTCAAAATATCAAAATTTATTATTTTAGTTTTTTAAATTTAGGATAAATTCTTTTGATCCCTTAAATTTTTTAAATTTATCTTTTTAATTTCTATAATTTTAAATTAAATATTATTTTAGCTTCCCAAGACTATTACATGGACATTTGATACGTAAAATATTTTTATTTTTTCAAATATCTGAATTAAAAATTTTTAGTTTCTCACCTTTGACTTATTATCTAAAAAATAACATTTTTAGGAAATGTGTTTTCTATAAATTAATGTTTTTTATATTGGTTTTCACCAAAGATAATAAATTCTCTCTCTTAGTTTTGTAGTTTTATTAAATTTTAATCAATAAAAATTGTGTTAAAAAATATGTTACCGGTACTTTTAATAAATAATTAAATAAAATAAACCGTAACTGTATAACACTGCACTACAATTCTCGATAATATTCATATTTGTGGCGTTCATGATTTGAAGAAATTACCAACCCACACAACACCATTATATAATCAATGATTTATTATTTAAAACTTATTAGAGTTAAAGTTCACCAAGCTTTAGCAATGGCCAAATATTAGAAACGATTATACTCAATAGAACCAATTTTTTATGCCTAAGTATAAGATCTAGCTAGTTTCGTGAGAAACATCTCTGTAATTAGTAGTGAATAATAAATTCTATCATCACAAACCCCTCTCTCTTTTCCTCCCGTGTGAACCCCCTTCACTTTTGATTTCATTTGTTTCCTTTCTTACTTCTTTGACTTTCATTTACCAACTCTAAATTGTTACTACTTTAAACTTAAACAAACCCAACAAAGTCAACTGTCCAAATTATAAACAAGATAATTAATTAGTATCAAATTTGGCAACTTGCTGAAAAACTTCAACTAAATTGCAAAGAAAATACTGACTTAACACATACTTCAAGGTTTACAACGTGAAACCTCTTCTATACTTCATCAACATTCATATATTTAACTCAAGTAGCAATGTAGCATCATTTTCAAGAAACCTTAAACTTCTCTATCCAAGCTGGCAATCCAGTCTTTGTTATATTTAATGTCTAATTGACTTGTCAAATGTGAATTCAGTCAAACTCACAAATAAGCTGGCTTCATTGTTCTCTTTCTGTGGGCATAAATCTCTTTAGATGTGTCAACTTTATTATATATAATCACAAAGTTGCTATCGATCTCTAGCTGCTTCATTTCTTATAATTACTCTTTCTGTGATAGCTTTCAAATCTACAGCTTCTTTCACCCATCATCATCAACATGACTTTCCCTCCACTCTTCCATCTTTGGTTTCTTTCCTTTTGTTTGATCTTTTCTTTTGCTAGGGGAGCTACTCTGTCAGAAGATGAAGGTATGTATATAATACATTCATACATTATATTATAAATACATACATACACACATTACATGATGACTCTCTTTTTAGATGTACTTCTTGATATGTATTTAAAATTTGTTTGGGTAAATTTCTCCATAAATATTTTTTAGGAGAAGAAATTAAATAAGAAAGAAAAAATTGGAGAGAGTTTATCTATAATTTAATTATAAGTAAAAAATAAATTTTTGAAGTTAATATAAGATAACCTCTATAAATTAATTTATGTATAAGATAATTTTAAATTATACAAAAGTTTATCTAATTTTTTTTTTCTTATTTTCTTCTAAAAATATATAGTAAAGTTTTTCCAAGAAAATTCTCGTAAGAAAATAAAATAAGAAAGTAAAAAAAAAATAAAACTTTTTTCATGAGTTAAAATAAACTTTTGGAGAAAATAAATGAGATAGCTTGTATATATTAAAGTTAATTTTAATTCATGAGTATTGAGAAATTCTTTCTCAATAAAGCCTGTCTTAATGGTGAGAAAATAATTCAATTTCAAATTGCAAAATATAACATTATGGGGAGCATTGATTTGGTGTTTGGTGTTGATATACAGTGCAAATTATGAAGGAGATAGGTAAGACACTTGGGAAGAAGGATTGGGATTTCAGTGTGGATCCATGCAGTGGAGAAAGTAATTGGACTTCATCTGTTCAAGTAAAGGGATTTGAAAATGCTGTTACCTGCAATTGCCTTTTTGCCAATGCCACTATCTGCCATGTTGTTAGCATGTAAGTCTCCGATCTCAAATATTGGGTCTTTGTTTTAGTTTGCATGTGTTTGTAAAGCACAACTTTTTAGAGAAATTAATAGTTTTTACAGGTATCTACATGACATGTAGTTAAATATAATTAATTATTTATATAAATTAAAAATTTTAAATACATGTTATGTAGTAATTAATTGTAACTTTAAATATTTGGTAGCACTCAACCACCAAATATATTTCAACTTTTCTGAACTCTCACCTAAGCCTGTGTTTACGGAAAATCAGTCAGTATCGCAATATGCATCAGCTAAAATGAATTATAGTGGTTATTTACAATTAAGGAAAAACTCATACTTTTATATTTTATAAACAAAGCATGCAAGATAACTTGTGCTGTACTTTTCAAGTTGCTTTATATTAATTCAATGGTCACCGTCAGAATACTTTTGCATGTTACCCCGTGTATATATTAACTAGTGCTCTTGCTTACACCGCTATAATTAACTATTAACTATTGTGTATATAATTTACAAATATTTCTTACAAAAATAAATTTTTGTAAATCTTGTTACAATTTTAATGATCATAGAAATTTTATTTCATTGTAAAAATTTTCAGAAAATGTTGTAAGAATTTCATTTTGTTTCTTGTAAATTTTTTTATAAAAATAAATTCGCAAGTAATTTTTACTAAATGGTTGAAAAATTTTGCAAGTAAATTTTCTAGCGGATTTTTCTCCCAATTTTAATCCGCAGGAAAATAAAAAAAAAATAAATTTAAAAGTTTAATAATTATAAGATTTTTAATTAAAAAATATTATTTTATTAAATTATTTATAAATATATCATTATAATTCATTTTAATTTAATTAAATTCAAT